ATAATGTAGTTACTACACCAATGATAATGTAGTCACTACACCACTGATAATGTAGTTACTACGCCACTGATAATGTAGTTACTACACCACTGATAATGTAGTCACTACTCCACTGATAATGTAGTTACTACGCCACTGATAATGTAGTTACTACACCACTGATAATGTAGTTACTACACCACTGATAATGTAGTCACTACACCACTGATAATGTAGTTACTACACCACTGATAATGTAGTTACTACACCACTGATAATGTAGTTACTACGCCACTGATAATGTAGTTACTACGCCACTGATAATGTAGTTACTACGCCACTGATAATGTAGTTACTACGTCACTGATAATGTAGTTACTACGTCACTGATAATGTAGTTACTACACCACTAATAATGTAGTCACTACACCACTGATAATGTAGTTACTACACCACTGATAATGTAGTTACTACACCACTGATAATGTAGTTTACTACACCACTGATAATGTAGTTACTACACCACTGATAATGTAGTTACTACACCACTGATAATGTAGTTACTACACCACTGATAATGTAGTTACTACACCACTGATAATGTAGTTACTATGCCACTGATAATGCAGTTACTACACCACTGATAATGTAGTCACTACACCACTGATAATGTAGTTTACTACACCACTGATAATGTAGTTACTACACCACTGATAATGTAGTAACTATACCACTGATAATGTAGTTACTACACCACTGATAATGTAGTTACTACACCACTGATAATGTAGTTACTACACCACTGATAATGTAGTTACTACATCACTGATAACGTAGTTACTACGTCACTGATAATGTAGTTACTACACCACTGATAATGTAGTTACTACACCACTGATAATGTAGTTACTACACCACTGATAATGTAGTTACTACACCACTGATAATGTAGTTACTACACCACTGATAATGTAGTTACTACGCCACTGATAATGTAGTTACTACGCCACTGATAATGTAGTTACTACGTCACTGATAATGTAGTTACTACACCACTGATAATGTAGTCACTACACCACTGATAATGTAGTTACTACACCACTGATAATGTAGTCACTACACTACTGATAATGTAGTTACTACACCACTGATAATGTAGTCACTACACCACTGATAATGTAGTCACTACACTACTGATAATGTAGTTACTACACCACTGATAATGTAGTTACTACACCACTGATAATGTAGTTACTACACCACTGATAATGTAGTTACTACGCCACTGATAATGTAGTTACTACGCCACTGATAATGTAGTTACTACGCCACTGATAATGTAGTTACTACACCACTGATAATGTAGTCACTACGCCACTGATAATGTAGTTACTACGTCACTGATAATGTAGTTACTACATCACTGATAATGTAGTTACTACACCACTGATAATGTAGTTACTACGCCACTGATAATGTAGTTACTACGCCACTGATAATGTAGTTACTACACCACTAATAATGTAGTGACTACACCACTGATAACGTAGTTACTACACCACTGATAATGTAGTTACTACACCACTGATAATGTAGTTACTACACCACTGATAATGTAGTTACTACACCACTGATAATGTAGTCACTACGCCACTGATAATGTAGTTACTACACCACTGATGATGTAGTTACTACACCACTGATAATGTAGTTACTACACCACTGATGATGTAGTTACTACACCACTGATAACGTAGTTACTACACCACTGATAATGTAGTTACTACACCACTGATAATGTAGTTACTACGCCACTGATAATGTAGTTACTACAAAACTGATAATGTAGTTACTACGCCACTGATAATGTAGTTACTACACCACTGATAACGTAGTTACTACGTCACTGATAATGTAGTTACTACACCACTGATAATGTAGTTACTACACCACTGATAATGTAGTCACTACACCACTGATAATGTAGTTACTACGCCACTGATGATGTAGTCACTACACCACTGATAATGTAGTTACTACACTACTGATAATGTAGTTACTACGCCACTGATAATGTAGTTACTACACCAATGGTAACGTAGTTATCACACCACTGATAATATAGTTACTACACCACTGATAATGTAGTTATTACACCACTGATAATGTAGTTACTACACCAATGATAATGTAGTCACTACTCCACTGATAATGTAGTTACTACGCCACTGATAATGTAGTTATTACACCACTGATAATGTAGTTACTACACCACTGATAATGTAGTTACTACACCAATGATAATGTAGTCACTACTCCACTGATAATGTAGTCACTACGCCACTGATAATGTAGTTACTACACCAATGATAATGTAGTCACTACTCCACTGATAATGTAGTTACTACACCAATGATAATGTAGTTACTACACCACTGATCATGTAGTTACTACGTCACTGATAATGTAGTTACTACGTCATTGATAATGTAGTTACTACACCACTGATAATGTAGTTATTACACCACTGATAATGTAGTTACTACACCACTGATAATGTAGTTACTACACCACTGATAATGTAGTTACTACACCACTGATAATGTAGTAACTACACCACTGATAATGTAGTTACTACACCAATGGTAACGTAGTCACTACACCAATGATAATGTAGTTACTACACCACTGATAATGTAGTCACTACACCACTGATAATGTAGTTACTACACCAATGGTAACGTAGTCACTACACCAATGATAATGTAGTTACAACACGATGGGCCATGCCAGGCATGTGAACGGCCGTCTGTACCAGATCTCCGTTGAGGTGGCGGTGATGTGTGTGCGTGTGTGTGCGTGACCTCCGCATCTCAAAGCGTGGAGACCTTGGATGGGAAAGCGACACCATCACCACCACGACCGCCACAACCACCAGAACCACCACGGTCTCCACCGCAACGATCGATCATCCTCGGCACCACATCCATCATCAATCATCGACGTAGAGCAGTCAGAGCCACTGCCTCCGATCGCTCGTCCGTTCACCAGCGGTCAGTAGCCTGCCTGTCGCTCTTCTATCGCTACTACTACGACGACGACGACTACCGATAGCGCGGTAAGGGTTCCCGTGAACCTCGCCAATTCCTCCACCCAGGACTCGCTCTGTACCAGATATTGTTACATCTCATCCACCACCGCCACCACCACCACCACACTGAAGGACACAACAAACCACTCACTCACTTACCCGCTTACTCACCCACTCACTAATTCATTCACCCATTTACTCACCCGCTCACTAATTCACTCACTCATTCACTCATTGATTGGCCCATTCACTAATTCACTAATTCATTCACCCATTCACTAATTCACTCACTCATTCACCCATTGATCGGCCCATTCGTTAATTCACTAATTCATTCACCCATTTACTCACTCACTAATTCACTCACTCATTCACTCATTGATTGGCCCATTCACTAATTCACTAATTCATTCACCCATTCACTAATTCACTCACTCGTTCACCCATTGATCGGCCCATTCATTAATTCACTAACTCATTCACCCATTTACTCACCCGCTCACTAATTCACGCACTCATTCACCCATTGATCGGCCCATTCACTAATTCACTAATTCATTCACCCACTTACTCACCCACTCACTAATTCACTCACTTGCTCACCCATTGATCGGCCCATTCACTAATTCACGAAATCATTAACCCACTGACTCACCCATTCATCAATTCACTCACTCATTCACCAATTGATTGGCCTATTCACTTATTCACTAATTCATTCACCCACTTACCCACTCACTAATTCACTCACTAATTCACCCACTTACTCACCCACTCACTAATTCACTCACTCATTCACCCACTTACTCACCCACTCACTAATTCACTCACTCATTCACCCATTGTTTGGCTCATTCACTAATTCACGAAATCATTAACCCACTTACTCACCCACTCACTAATTCACTCACTCATTCATCAATTGATTGGCCTATTCACTTATTAATTCACTCACTTACTCACCCACTCACTAATTCACTCACTCATTCACCCACTTACTCACCCACTCACTAATTCACTCACTCATTCACCCACTTACTCACCCACTCACTAATCCACTCACTCATTCAACCATTGATTGGCCCATTGACTAATTCACAAAATCATTAACCCACTTACTCACCCATTGACTAATTCACTCACTCACCCGCTCACCCATTCACTAATTTACTCACTCACCCATTCACTAATTTACGCACTCATTCACCCACTTATCCATGTATCCACTGGTTCAGACACTCACTCACCAACTCACCACACCGCAGGCCACATTCACTTCTATCTCTGCTTCTTCCCTTGTACTGCTCCCCATGTGTAACTCCCACCACCACCACCATCATCGTCGTCGGTTCAACCCTAACCTCTCACAACAACAAACAATAATAATAACGACACCAACAGCCTCGCTCAATTCAATGAATGTATGAACTCTTGACTATAACAACCTTCAAAAGTGCTGATTGTCACTGCCCGCTCGACATTTTTTTTGCACCTGTTCACAGAGCTTGCCCCGCCCCCTCCCACCCGTTAGCCCCGCCCTCATTCTCTAGCCCCGCCCTCCAATCCACCATCCCCGTCGCCCCGCACACGCTAGCCACGCCCCTCAAACGCTCGCTCCACCCCTCATCCGTTAGCCCCGCATCCCGCCCCGCTAGCCCCGCCCTCATCCTCTAGCCCCGCCCTCCAATCCACCATCCCCGTCGCCCCGCACACGCTAGCCACGCCCCTCAAACGCTCGCTCCACCCCTCAACCGTTAGCCCCGCCTCCCAACCGCTAGCCCCGCCCTCATTCTCTAACCCCGCCCTCCAATCCACCATCCCCGTCGCCCCGCACACGCTAGCCACGCCCCTCAAACGCTCGCTCCACCCCTCACCCGTTAGCGCCCCGCCCCCTCCCACCCGCAAGCCCCGCCCCACGACGTCGTCCGCCATGACGGTGACGGCCGCGGGCGACGTGGACCCGCCCCCGCCGCGCTCGACCCCCGACGCCGCCCTCCCCTACGCCTCCTCCGACCGCTCCGCCGACGCTCGCCTCTCCACGGCCACCGCCTCCGCCGCCTCCGCCGCCTCCGCCGCCGCCTCCGCCGCCTCCGCCGCCTCCGCCGCCTCCGCCGCCTCCGCCGCCTCAGCCGCCGCCTCCGCCGCCTCCGCCGCCTCCGCCGCCTCAGCCGCCTCCGCCGCCCCCCTCCTCCGCCCCGTCCCCCACCGCGTGCCGAGGGGCCTCCGCCCACCCGCGCCTCCAACCTCCGCCGGAACCGGAGCGTCGCTGCGAGCGTGTCGCCGTCAACGTCGCGGGCCTCCGCTTCGAGACGCTCTTGTCGACGCTGGAGCGCTTCCCGGACTCGCTGCTGGGCGACGGGCGACGCCGGTCGCGGCACTTCGACGCGGCGCGCAACGAGTACTACTTCGACCGCAGCCGCCCAAGCTTCGACGCCATCCTCAACTACTATCAGGTGAAAACGCTGACGGGAATAGCCCCCGCGAGGCGATGGACGCCCCGCGGGCACGGGGACAATTTCAAGCGAGGAGACGGATTCTGGAATGAGCAATCGTTGGAAGGATTCGATGAACCACGTCGGGGTCTCAATTGATTTAAATGTCGATTTAAAGCTTTCGCGGCTGCGGGGATTCCATATTCTTGGTTCTTTGGGTAAAGTCACGTAGAAGGGAAACAATAAAATAATAAAAATATAAAACAATAAAATAATAAAAATATAAAACGCTAAAATTCTCACGACGTTTCGACTGCAACACAAGAAGCAATCGTCATCGGGTGTGAAAACCACAGCAAGAACATTTGAAACACCGAGACGATTTCAACCGAGAACATGGATTCTGGCTGAGCAATCATTGGAAGGATTCGATGAACCACGTCGGGGTCTCAATTGATTTAAATGTCGATTTAAAGCTTTCGCGGCTGCGGGGATTCCATATTCTTGGTTCTTTGGGTAAAGTCACGTAGAAGGGAAACAATAAAATAATAAAAATATAAAACAATAAAATAATAAAATTATAAAACGATTAAATTCTCACGACGTTTCGACTGCAACACAAGAAGCAATCGTCATCGGGTGTGAAAACCACAGCAAGAACATTTGAAACACAGAGGCAATTTCAACCGAGAAGACGGATTCTGGCTGAGCAATCGTTGGAAGTATTCGATGAACCACGTCGGGGTCTCAATTGATTTAAATGTCGATTTAAAGCTTTCGCGGCAGCGGGGATTCCATATTCTTGGTTCTTTGGGTAAAGTCGCCACCACGTAGGAGGGAAACAATAAAATTATAAAAATATATAAAACGATAAAATTCTCACGACGTTTCGACTGCAACACCAATCGTCATCGGGTGTGAAAACCACAGCAAGAAAATTAGAAACACCGAGACGATTTCAACCGAGAAGATGGATTCTGGCTTAGCAATCATTGGAAGTATTCGATGAACCATTTCGGGTCTTAATTGATTGAAATGTCGATTTAAAGCTTTCGTGACTGCAAAGATTCCATATTCTTGGTTATTTGGGTAAAGTCACCACCACGTAGAAGGGAAACAATACAATTATAAAAATATAAAACGATAAAATTATCACGATGTTTCGACTGCAACACAAGAAGCAATCGTCATCAGGTGTGAAAACCACAGCAAGAACATTTGAAACACCGAGACAATTTCAACCGAGAAGATGGATTCTGGCTTAGCAATCATTGGAAGGATTCGATAAACGACGGGTCTTAATTGATTGATCACGCTTACGGTGGCTTTCAGACCGCATCCATTATTTTTTAGTCTCCCCCCCCCCTCCTCTTTTCCGAACATAGATGGATTCGTCCATCTGAACAAACTCTCAAATCGCTCTCCGTGGTGCTAACGTTCAGAAAAACACCGCCACTTTTTTCAAATTGTTCTTGCTGTGGTTTTCACACCTGATGAAGAGTGCTTGCATTGCAGTCGAAACGTCGTGATAATTTTATTGTTTTATATTTTTTATTATTTTATTGTTTCCCTTCTACGTGACTTTACCGAAAGAACCAAGAATACTATCAGGTGCATTTAAAATCATCCTCAACTCGTGTCGGGTCCATTAAAACTTCCTCAAGACCATCGGAACATTCTCAACTAGTGTTGAGTCCATTGAAACTACCTCAACTCACTCACTCACTCTCTCAGTCACTCAGCAAATAACTCGCCCGCACACTCGCTCACTCACTCACTCACCCAGTCACTCAGCCAATCACTCACTCACACGCTCGCTCACTCACTCGCTCGCTCACTCACTCACCAAGTCACTCAGCCAATCGCTCACCCGCATGCTCGCTCACTCACTCGCTCACTCACTCACCAAGTCACTCATCCAATCGCTCACTCACACGCTCACTCACTCGCTCACTCACTCACCAAGTCACTCAGCCAATCGCTCACCCGCATGCTCGCTCACTCACTCGCTCACTCACTCACCCAGTCACTCAGCCAATCGCTCACCCGCATGCTCGCCCGCCCGCCCGCTCGCTCACCCAGTCACTCAGCCAATCACTCACTCGCACGCTCGCTCACCCACTCGCTCACTCACTCACCAAGTCACTCATCCAATCGCTCACTCACACGCTCGCTCACTCGCTCACTCACTCACCAAGTCACTCAGCCAATCGGTCACCCGCATGCTCGCTTACTCACTTGCTCACTCACTCACTCGCCAACTCACTCAGCCAATCGCTCACCCGCATGCCCGCCCGCCCGCTCGCTCACCCAGTCACTCAGCCAATCACTCACCCGCATGCTCACCCACTCGCTCACTCACTCGCCAACTCACTCAGCCAATCGCTCACTCGCACGCTCGCTCACCCACTCGCTCGCTCACTCACTCACCAAGTCACTCATCCAATCGCTCGCTCACACGCTCGCTCGCTCGCTCACTCACTCACCAAGTCACTCATCCAATCGCTCGCTCACACGCTCACTCACTCGCTCACTCACTCACCAAGTCACTCATCCAATCGCTCACTCACCCGCTCGCTCACTCACTCGCCAACTCACTCAGCCAATCGCTCACTCGCACGCTCGCTCACCCACTCACTCACCCAGTCACTCAGCCAATCACTCACTCACACGCTCGCTCACTCACTCGCTCGCTCACTCACTCACCAAGTCACTCATCCAATCGCTCGCTCACACGCTCACTCACTCGCTCACTCACTCACTCACCAAGTCACTCATCCAATCGCTCGCTCACACGCTCGCTCACTCGCTCACTCACTCACCAAGTCACTCATCCAATCACTCGCTCACACGCTCACTCGCTCACTCACTCACTCACCAAGTCACTCAACCAATCGCTCGCCCGCATGCCCGCCCGCCCGCTCGCTCACCCAGTCACCAAGTCACTCAGCCAATCGCTCACCCGCATGCCCGCCCGCCCGCTCGCTCACCCAGTCACTCAGCCAATCACTCACTCGCACGCTCGCTCACCCACTCGCTCGCTCACTCACTCACCAAGTCACTCATCCAATCGCTCACTCACACGCTCGCTCACTCGCTCACTCGCTCACTCACCCAGTCACTCAGCCAATCGCTCACCCGCATGCCCGCCCGCCCGCTCGCTCACCCAGTCACTCAGCCAATTGCTCACTCGCACGCTCGCTCACTCACTCGCTCGCTCACTCACTCACTCACCCAGTCACTCAGCCAATCGCTCACTCGCACGCTCGCTCACTCACTCACTCGCTCACTCACCCAGTCACTCAGCCAATCGCTCACCCGCATGCCCGCCCGCCCGCTAGCTCACCCAGTCACTCAGCCAATCGCTCGCTCACACGCTCACTCACTCGCTCACTCACTCACTCACCAAGTCACTCATCCAATCGCTCGCCCGCATGCCCGCCCGCCCGCTCGCTCACCCAGTCACTCAGCCAATCGCTCACTCGCACGCTCGCTCACTCACTCGCTCGCTCACTCACTCACTCACCCAGTCACTCAGCCAATCGCTCACTCGCACGCTCGCCCGCCCGCTCGCTCACCCAGTCACTCAGCTAATCACTCACTCACATGCTCGCTCACTCGCTCACTCACTCCCCAAGTCACTCATCCAATCGCTCGCTCACACGCTCGCTCACTCGCTCGCTCACTCACTCACTCACCAAGTCACTCATCCAATCGCTCACACGCTCGCTCACTCACTCACTCACCCAGTCACTCATCCAATCGCTCACTCACACGCTCGCTCGCTCGCTCACTCACTCACCAAGTCACTCAGCCAATCGCTCACTCACCCACTCGCTCACTCACTCGCCAACTCACTCAGCCAATCGCTCACTCACTCGCTCGCTCGCTCACTCACTCACCAAGTCACTCATCCAATCGCTCACTCGCACGCTCGCTCGCTCACTCACTCACTCACCAAGTCACTCAGCCAATCGCTCACTCACACGCTCGCTCGCTCGCTCACTCACTCACCAAGTCACTCAGCCAATCGCTCACTCACCCACTCGCTCACTCACTCGCCAACTCACTCAGCCAATCGCTCACTCACTCGCTCGCTCGCTCACTCACTCACCAAGTCACTCATCCAATCGCTCACTCGCACGCTCGCTCGCTCGCCCACTCGCTCGCTCGCTCACTCACTCACCCAGTCACTCGCCAACTCACTCAGCCAATCGCTCACTCGACCCACCCCCCACCCCCACCCCCACCCCCACCCCCACCCCCACCCCCACCCCCACCCCCCCACCTCCCTCCCCCGTCCCCCCGGGGGCACCCCCAGTCCGGCGGGCGTCTGCGCTGCCCGGCCAGCGTGCCCTTGGACATGTTCGTGGAGGAGCTGAGCTTCTTCGAGCTGGGCGCCGACGCCATCGAGCGCTTCCGCGCAGCCGAGGGCCACCCCCGTTGTGAGCAGCGCCCGCTGCCCTCGGCGGCCTGGAAGCGCCGCGTCTGGCTCCTC